CTCCCTGGGCGCTCTGGAAACAGGCTGCTCTCAGGGAGCAAGTGCAGTTACTGTGGGGCAGGACACGGCCACCCTCGGGGCTGCCCGCTGGGCTCTTCCATTACGGCGCCACACTGGTAACAACACTTGCTCTGAACACAAGACCTGGACGGTTCTCGTCATGAGTACCGTGACCAGAATGGCTGCTGCGAGAATCACGTCTCCACTTCGCCAGCGTCCTCCGTGGGGTTAAGGTGAAATTTCAAATGCTACGTCAGTATGGTTCTTAGATATTGGCCCACAAAGAGTATGCCTGTTTTATTATCCTAAAAATAAAAAGCCAGTGTCTGCCAGCACTAGAAAATTGCAAATAAAAAGTTTAATTTCAGAAACTGAGTTCACCATTTATAAATACACTAAAACAGTCAATGCAAATTTAGATTAAGCATAGGTACAGTATTTTAACAAAACAGTAACTTTTCTAAAAAGTCGTAGGCAAATGAGTGATTTGTCTCACCCAGAATATTTAATTGGTTTGAAGATAAAGCAAAAATTCTGAAGACATAATTATCAAAATAATCTGACAACCAGTACTTCATTCTGACGTCCTTGGGATTCTAAAATATCCCAGTGATGGCTGAATCTTCCCTATCATGAAAAAAAAACATCTCAACACCTAAGAATATTCTTACAACTGTAATATAACCAGCTTCTTCCCTGTTAATAAGCCATCTCTTCTAAAAAGAATTTTACACAGAATTTGATCAGTGCACACATTTTAAAAGATAGCTTCCTAGCGCAGAGACACTAAATCAGAGGCGTGGAGATTGAAACAGCAGACCATCTGCTAGGAACGTGTCACATTATGCATTGGCTAAACAATAAGTGTGAATTTACAAATTTGGATCAAGTTTCAAAGGTGCTCGTGACAAACTGTTGGGATCTCTCTGAGTTAACTGACCATGTAAAACCTCAACGCAAAAACCTGAAATGGGGGAAAATTCTTGTTACCAAGTAACCACATAACTGACCCTCCATCATATACCGAAGTTTAGTTTTGCTTTCAAATGCCACGTCTCTGTTATAGTAAACAGTTACCTTCCAGAATATTCTCTGTACTCCTAGACATACTTTAGAGCCTGCAGTTAAAAACTGCTCAGTCAGGATGGCTTGACCTCCACCTCCTATTTACAGGTTTCATTTGACAGCCACAAAAGCTGTTTTGTTGCAATTAAAGCAATGTTTAACTAAAATACAGTACCTGATTTGTGGTTTTTACATAATCGAGTAAAAAGCCTACAGAATAAAAATTATTTACATCTTCTATGCCATTCTAGCAAAACAAATTACTAAACCCCAACTTTTAAAAAACTTTACAGTTATGAATTGAAACCTAGTCATCGTACTTCATAGCTGACAACACAAGCTACTTCTAGCGGACTTCTTAAAAAACACACCGCGATACCTGGCCTGAAGGAGTGGGAGGAGTAAGGCACCTGCAGACGTTTCGGCGAGAGCTGGAGAGCGGCCCTGAGAGTGCCTGGTCTGATGTCGTGCGTGGCCCCGGGCAGAGTCACAGGCCCCGGTGCCAACCGCTGATGCCCGAGAAGCAACAACATCTCGAGTCTGGGGGCTCCGCTGCGAGCCTCAATACTGAAAGTATATCAAGGGAAGATTCACTTTCAAAAAGATAAGTTTTTCAAAATGTTCCGTCATGAGCCTGGACTGGCCAAAGCTACTGTTCTCAGTGGGTGTGCTGAACAGCTTTTCTGAAGGGACGATACTTGGGGGACAGCCCAAAAACCTGACGGCCAAGGCGGACAGCCCTGGCCAGGATGCCTTCTTCAGGTTCCAGTAGGCGAGCGGGTCACAGCTGTGTTCAAGCACTTCCTCCTCCAAGTATGCGAGCACCATGTCTTCAGGCAACTTCTCTCTCAGATCTTTCTTCTTCATCTTGGCCATGAGGGACCACAGGTTCTCCTCTCCAGCGGAGTCTTTCGATGGGGAACCTGTATCACACCCGTTGGAGGCAAGCGTGTCGTCTGAGGTAGAATTCAGTATTTCTAGTTCCCTGATTAAATCCTGCTTGTACTGTTCCGCTTCCTCCTCTGTGAACAGGGAGGCTTTGTAACGAGGGTCCAGCAGTGTAGCGAAGATGTACCTGGGGTCGTGGAGGGTGGCGGACAGCCGGCTCACCATGGCTTCCTTCAAGGACTTCAGCATGGTGTCGATGCCCATCGTCTCCGCGAAGAGCATCTCGACCTTCCTGTTGAGGATGTGGATCATGGGGATGACCTGGCTGAGAGTAGACACGTGGGCGCTCATCTCCCGACTCGCAGCATCGAAGGGTTTCAGCGCGTCACACACGGACTGCATGACCTCCCACTGGTCACAGCTGATCAGTTCTCTGAAGTTACACTCGATTGACATTTCGTTAATGGCCCGTTTTTGTTCAATGAGTCGTTCAAGCATGCGAAACGACGTGCTCCACTTGGACGGAACGTCTTGAATAAGATGGTGCTGCGGCAGTTCGTACTCCCTCTGCAGCTCTGCCAGCTTCTCTTTCGCTTTGGGTGACCGGTGTACCCGTTCGCATATCTTCCGTGCGATGCTGAGGAGGTTCTGCACCATTCTCTGGCTCTTGATGGCCTCGTTCACAATCAGGTTGACCGTGTGGCTGAAGCACTGCACGCTCGTGTGCTCCCCTTCGTTCAGCGTCTTTCCTATGCTCGGATTGTCGGTCACCGTGATGCCAACCTGAAGGCCGATGGAGGTCACCCAGGCTTCCCACCAACACTCCAGCTGCTTCTGGATGCTGTTGCCGCTGTAGTCGCAGTCGACCTGTGACACATCTAAAAGTGCTGAGCAGTGGTGGTCCTCACAATGTGGGCGGACCGACGACTCGAAGGAGACCCAGTGAGCCGTGAGGGTCAGGTACTCCCGGGTCTGGTTACTCATCCATATTCCAGAAGTGAAGTGGATCACACCACTCTCAGCTTCCTTAAGATGTGACATAATTATCTGCTTCACATTATCATACATACCTGGGATGGCCGTCCTCGAGAAGTAAGACGGGGAGGGTAGGGAGTACTGAGGTTTCAAGTATTTGAGCAGCCTGTTAAAGCCAACATTGTCTACAAAGGAATATGGCTGAAGGTCAAGCGCGATCATTTCAGCTATGAGACTAGTGATTTTTTTGGCAACTGGGTGAGAATCATAAAACTTCTCATTGGTGTCATCGAAGGAGGAAGCTCCTGATAATTCTGTGCTCAGCGGCGCACGCCTGTCCGGAGAAGAGGGCCGCGCTGTCTCTGAGACGTCGGTCTTCAGCACGTTGCTGTGGAACCTCTGCAGATGTCTCAGAAGACAGCTGGTGCCCAGGTTAGTGGGCTTCTTCCCTCTGCTGATCGTCCGGCCGCAGTGCAAGCACACGACTTTAGTGGAGTCTGCAGAGCAAATAGAAAAGTGATTCCACAGCTTTGAGGTCTTTTTGCTATTAACTGGAAACATAACCTGATTATTTTTTGTGACCATCGTTGGCAAGTCAGTTAATTTGGAGGAGGAACTTTCTGCAGAAGCCAACGTAGCATACGGAGAATTTGCCAAACTTGCACCTAGAAAGCCCTTCTGGTTCCCGACAACTTCAGGATGGCGTCTGTACAGATGCCTCATCAGACAGCTGGTGCCCACGTCACCCTTCTTCCCCCGACTGATGACGCAGCTGCAGTACCTGCACACTGCCTTGAGGCTGTCCATGGGCGCCAGCGAGAAGTGATGCCAAACTTCCGACTTCAGTCTTTTCATGACCTTTTTGTTCTGCTGGAAGACAGCACCAGACTCAAACGCTCTAGGCCGCAATCCACGGGCCGGCTGCTTCGCGGCAGAGGACGCCGAGGCCTCCCCAACATCATCAGAGGGTGACAGCACTGACACAGCTTCCATCAGTGTGTCTCCGGGGTTCAAATGCGATGGCAGGTCTTCGGGCAGCTGATCAGGAGAGGAAGAAGCGGAAGGGGACTCTTTGACCAGTTTTCCTGGGGATGACGACATGGAGTTCGGATCCCCCTCCGGAGGCAGGAGGGCGGGCAGGAGGGTGGGAGGGGCGGAGTACAGGGGTGGGATGCCCGTGCCCCCGTTCTCCTGCAGCACGATGGAGCGATGTGCTCTCCACATGTGCCTGATGAGACAGCTGGTGCCCAGGTCCTTCCCGTTCTTTCCTCTGCTGAACTCGTTCATGCAGTGAATGCAGACGGCTTTGGAGTTGTCCAGAGGCGACAGGTAGAAGTGCTTCCAGACGGCAGACCTTCTTCTGGACCCAGATGTGCTCTTTGGAAGTGGAAGGTTTTTCTCCATGATGTTCTCTGTGGTTTCATCATAATGGAGAGTGGGCAGGTGGGGAGACGACCCCACCAGGGCTTCTTCTCGGCCGTACTTCTCAGAAACAGGTATGTCGCAGGAGATTTCTTCAGAAGACACTACAGACACAGATTCCTCTGTTATTCGATCGGGGGATGGGATCTTAGGTGCCATTTTCTGGACCAGTTTGATGGGTGAGAGTATGGTGCTGAGGTCTCCTGCGTCTGCAGGCTGTGGCGGAAGCAGGAGTGACGGGGAAGGAAACGAGGACACGGCGGATATGCTTCCGTTTTCCTGAATGAGCACGGTGGGGTGTGCTCGCCGGACGTGTCTCATGAGACAGCTTGTACTTAAGTCTTTCTCATTTTTACCTCTACTAAATTCTTTCATACAGTACATACATATTGCTTTAGTGCTATCCCGAGGAGAGATAAAAAAATGTTTCCAAGCTGGAGATTTCTTCCTGGAGGTTATGTTTCGGCTGGAAAGGAGGCTCTGCGTCACGGCTTCCATGGCGACGTCGTACAGTGTGCTGCTGTACTGGGAGAACAGAGACCCGTAGTCGTCCTCGTTCTCGGAGGGCAGGCACTTCCCAGGGGGCTTCCTGTTACAGCTCGTGTCTCTGGCCTCTGCCTGCTCATCGCTGCTGTCCGTCTGCTTCATGTCCTCTTGCTCCCTTTTAAAGTCCACTCTTCCCAAACTATGAGTAGAAATTGGATCATCATCTTCTTCCTCTATTTTAAAATTTACTTTATCAGAAACAAAATCACTATCCCCTTTGGGACAAGTTTCCAGGTTATTCTCCATGACTGACCATAACTATTCTGGCTGCTTCATCATATTAATATCTTAGGTTAATAAAAAATTGATCCAAATCCTCATTTGTGCCCCTGAATGTAGAGAATCTTCACTTTTTCATAATAATTCCATCTTTCAGGATGTTTCTATGGATATGGCTGATCGTAAATATTACTGAAAAATAGAATATGTAGCTCGCACGAGCATATCATCTTAGAGCATAGGTCACTGCTTTCCAGGAGTTCTACTATTAAATACTTCACGGTGTAGACAAAAACTTATGCAGTGGAGACTCGTTTCTTGTCGTAAAGGCTGCGCGCCTGCCATCTTGATAGCACACACACGGTCCTTTTGCATTACCTATAAAAGATGAAATCAAATTAAGCACGGAGCTAAATCATGCATTTTAAATCGACACTGTTATGGATACATCGGCCTACTTATGCATAGAAAAAATATCCACAATGGAAAACTGGAATAGAAAAACTTGTCTCCTTTCGGCAATCCACTTACATGATAAAAATACCCTAACAGTGCTAAATAAGCAAAAAGTAAAAATATGAATTCAAATGCAAATGGTCTATTAATAAAGGACCGGGGGAACATAAATTAAAACCTACAAAGGTATAAAGAGGTCATTTCCATCTAGAATTTATTCCCTCACCCTTCAAACATTTTACCAGAGGTACCTGTAGCTGCTACAATCAGCAAAGCTAAATTCCTCAAAACCAATTCATTCTGCCCTGCTGTAAGGACTAATACATAAATCAGGAATTTTTACAACTCCAGCTATCCATCAGTTCACAGACTAAAAACGGATCATACAAAAAGATGATGATGATTGCCCGGACCTAGCAAAGGACAAAAGTCCACGAGAGTAAAGCCACCTCCCAATCCAACCTTTCCGTTCACTGCTCAGTGACGCCGCACTGTGCGGGGACGCGGCCGCGCAGAGACAGACAGGCACAGGGCCTTGCCTTGCAGTCCACAGGGGAGACGACAATCGCCAAGAACTGCGAGACTTTAGCTGCAGCGAATGCTAGAAGTGAAGGTACACGATGCTGTGAAAGCGTGAAACAGCAGGACGGGACCTCGAACAGAACAGTGAAGCACGAGGCGGCGTGTGGGGTAGGAGTAGAGCAGTTTAATAAAAAAGTACCAGCCAGGTGTGGTGGTTCACACCTGTAATCCCAGGACTTTGGGAGGCCAAGGTGAGAGGATCACTTGAGGCCAGGAGTTCGAGACCAGCCTAAGCAATATAGCGAGACCCCATCTCTACAAAAAACAGAAAACTTAGCCGGGTGCGCCTGTAGTCCCAGCTACTCGGGAGGCTGAGGCAGGAGGATTGTTTGAGCTGAAGTGAGCTATGATGGTGCCACTGCACTCTAGCCTGTGCGACAGAGCGAGACCCTGTCTCTAAATAAATAAATACATACATAAAAGTAGTGACCAATGTGGCAATATGGCAACAAATACTATAGGAGTATTTCACTATAATAAAACCAGACTCTAGAAGACTTGTAACAAACGTATTCTTAATGTATTACTGGGCATACAAGGAAGTGGGAGAATTCTTCCAGGGACACAAACGGGAGGCAGCGATGGATGGAGAAGTGAGCACGGCCATAGCCGGCTGTGCACACAGAGGCCGTCTGAGAGCAACACCCAGCCAGACCAACGTCAGGCCACCACCGACGCCGCACTCCCGAACTGTGCAGGAACCAAAGTCATGAGTAACCACCTAAGTTATTTTCCAAACCCAGGTAACTGAGAGGGAAAGGAAGTGCTATCAATACTATTTTGGGGACAACAGCCTTAAGCCAAACCTGTCTGAGACAAAGCAAGATGTATGGTCACCCGATGAAGTGTTCTTGGGTTAATAAAAACTGCTAGTTTCCACCAGAAACAAATGCAGGTTGTTTCTGAAAGAAAGCATTCCTGGTTTCAAACTCCTGGCCTCAAGTGACCCTCCTGCCTCAATCTCCCAAAATGTTGGGATTACAGACGAGAACCACCATGCTCAGCTGAAAGAATTCCTAATAGTGAATTCCACAAAGTTCAGCCAGATAAAAACTCAAAATTAAAAAAATTCGCATAAAATATCACTAAAATGCACAAGGAAACAAGCCACCATGAGTGAAAGTCAGCAAAAGCAACAAACAACAGATTTAAAACACCAAGGACTTCACTTACTGGAATTAACACATACAAGCTATAAAATAATTATATGTTATATATAATTGTATTTCTTAACATATTATGTATTAAGTTATTAAGTATGAAATGTCTGATTTCCTCAAGTACTAAGTTTGATAGTTAATCTCTCATGACATTTCACTTTGACACGTCTTATTTTACTTTTACTGTGAAGGTACCTCCTCAGTCTTTCACATGCATGTTTTGGCTTGTAATTATCTTTCACATTTTTTTAAGAGCAATTTTTGTGAAACTACAGATAAGTCAAAATTTCGCATTATTTTCAAATATGAGTTCCGTCGTGGAACCAACGCAGTGCACACAACTCAAAATATCAACAAAGTGTTCGGAAAGGATGTGGCCAATGAACGCACAGTACGGCGATGGTTTGAGAAGTTCCATTCTGGTGATTTTAATCTTGAAAAGGAGCCATGTGGGCAACCTGAGACCAAGGTGGATAATGAGGAGCTGAAACCTGTAGTGGAAGCGAATCCATTTCAACCTATACGTGAATTAGCAAGGTTTGATGTTACTATTCCAACAACATTGGAACATTGGAAACAAATGGGCAAAGAATAGAACGTGGATAGATGGGTCTCACGTGAATTAAACGAGCATCAGAAGAGAAATCACCTGGAAGCTTGCCTTTCTTTGCCGTCACGACATAAAGGCGAGCCATTTCTATACCAGATTGTGCCATCTGATGAAAAATGGATTCTTGTTGACAATCGCAAGTGTTTGGCACAATGGTTGGATACAGACGAAGTGCCGAAACACAGTCCAAAACCGAATGTTCATCAAAAAAAGCTAATGGAGTCTGCTTGGTGGTCCAGCGCTGGTATTATTCACTACAGCTTCATGAAACCTGGTCAATTGATAACAGAGGATGTCTGCTGCAACCAGGTGGAAGAAATGATGAGGATGCTTGCGATTTAGCAGCCGAGACTGGTCAACAGAGACAGGCCAATCCTTTTACAAGACAATGCTCGACCACGTGTCACACAAACAACACTGCTCAAACCACAGCGGCGGCACTCAGAAACTCTTTGTCATCCACTGTATTCACCAGACCTTGCACCAACTGACTACCACTTCTTCCAGGCTTTGGATCACTTCTTGCAAGGGAAAATATTCAATTCTCAACAAGCTGTGGAAAACGCCTTTCCCGATTTCATCACCACTAGCTCTCCAGGCTTCACTGTTGGCATAAACAAGCTACTGTTAAGATGGCAAAACTGTGTCAATAGTTTAGGCGCACACTTTGATTAACTGTACTGCTTCTTGTTTGAGATAGAATAAACTTTTGATTTGAAATTGGACATTTCATATTTAATGACCTAATATATTTCACATATATAATTATATGTGTGTACATATATATATAAAGTTTTTTAAAAACAAAATACAGAAAACAAAGAAAAATGAGCAAAAAACCAAAAAACAGACTGTAAAAAGTGAGAAGCCAGATTTGGAAAAGAATCACACAGAACAATTACAATTAGAAATATATGCAAATCAAAACCAAAATTAGATACCAATTCATACCCACTAAGATGGGCATGATAAAAAAGACAATAAGAAGTATTGATGAAGATGTGGAAAAGTGGAATCCGCATACTCGTCCAGTGGGAATGTCAAATGGCACGCCTACTTTGGAAATCAGCCTCACAGTTCCTCTAAAAATGAAACACAGTTCTGATTGAACCCGGCAATTCCACTCCTAGGTGTATGCCCTAGAGGAACGAAAACTCATGTCACACAAAGACTGGTACGTGAACATTCGCAGCAGTATTACACCGACCAAAAGGTGGAAACAACCCGAATGTCCATCAACTGATGAACAGATTAAAAAATGTAATTTATTCATACAGTGGCATGAAAAGGAACAAAGTACTGATACATGCTACAACATGGATGAACCTTGAAAACATCAAGCTAAGCGGAAGAAGCCTGACCAGATGAGCACATACTGTATGACTGAATTTATGTGAAATGTCCAAAACAGGCAAAGCCATAGAGACAGAGTGATTAGTAGTTGCCTGGGACTTGAGCAAGAGACGCATGAGGGTGACTCCTACTGGATTCAGTTTCTTTTCGAGGTCATTAAAAGTTCTGGAATTATATAGTGATGATGTTTGTAAACTTAAGAATATACTTTTTAAAGGTATATTTTATGGTGTGTGAATTCTGTCTCAATAAAAAATAACTTTTAAAAACCAATACATAATTTTGGAATTAAAATCAAAATGAAAGAGACAATTGATTAAAATCAGCTGGAAACAATTAACACGCTGGAAGCCAGATCTAAAGAAGATTATTGAGAAACCAGTATTGACAAGAAAACGTGAAAAATACGGAAGAGAAGAGTCATATAGAAGAAAATACGAAGGTCGGAGATGGGGGAGGGGCAGTATGTGAGGAGGTTACAATTCCAGCAGTAATGGAGGCATGAAGTGCCCCAGACTAAGTAAAAGGACTACTGGAATTCCAATCCAAGCACAGACACGTTGTGATGACACCGCAGAATGCAGGGGGAGAGGGGGATGGAGAAGCAGATCTTCAAAGTGGGTAGACTTGTCTGGATCTGAATTTTTTTTAAAGAGGGTAAAAGCTGGGCACGGTGGCACGTGCCTGTAGTCCCAGCTACTTGGGAGGCCAAGGCGGGAGGACTGCTTGAACCCAGGAGTTCAAGGACAGCCTGGGCAACATAGTGAGATCCCATTTCTAAATAGATTAAATTAAAAAGTAAAAGTAAAATATTATGAACAAAATCGGTGGAGAAATGGGCATACTACATGCATACCTGAATCTATTAAGAAAATATTTGAGGG